CTTCAAAGCCTGAAACTGTGACAACAGGTGACGTTACCCACAACAGTGTGACTCTGAAGGTTTCTCCTCCCAGGTCTGGAGCAGAGAGCATCACCTCCTACTCTGTGGAGGTCTGTGTGTACAGAGAAGATGGATGGAAGCAGATTACTGGACCAGAAGACGGAGAAGTCACAGTTGAAGACCTGAAACCAAACACAGAGTATGTCTTCAGATGCCGAGCAGTGACCTCAGCTGGTGTTGGACCGGCCTATGAAGTCAGGGACCCAATCAGAACTTTACCCTGCAGCCCTCCCCAAGAACTTCATGTAGAACCAAACTTATTGGATGCTTCTATTACCTGGAAGAAACCGTCTGAGATCGGACCAGATGTTCAGATTTTAAACTACATCTTGGAGTATGCAGAGATGGGAGATACCAGTCCAGCCCAGTGGAACCAGTTAATGCCAAAAACCCAAAGAGTGACCATCTCAGATCTTCAGTCTGACACACAATATGCCATCAGGGTCAGTTGTGATTGTGGAGAAGCTGGAATGAGCAGAGAAAGCATCACGGCTCATTTTTCTACAACAAGATCTATACGTCCTGCAGAACTGCTAAGAAGCAGGAGCGAACTGATCAGGCCTGGAACTCCTTCCGTTTTCAAGCTTCCTCTTACAGAAGAACACATCAACATCAATGGCTGCAGGAAGTTTGCATGTGGAGAAGCCAATGAGAAGCAGAATCGGACCATAGTTCTTTTAGGACTGTCCAGATATGGAGCATCAAACTTCATCAATGGAATGATCAACTACATGGTTGGTGTGGAGTGGGAGAACAGCTTCAGGTTTAAGCTGGCTGAGGAGGAGTGTGTGACCTCTGAGGTCACTGTGTACCAAATCTTTCACCAGGAAGGTTTCAGAACCGATTACTCTCTGACTGTCGTTGATACCCCTAAGGAGCTTTCCTTTGAGAATGATTTTTTCTTTTTCTTTAGAAGAAGTGCAGAAATACGAAGTGACAGACGGATCTCTGAGCTTCTGGGTCGTCTCTTCTGTTGTCCAGAAGGTGTGAGTGAAGCTGCTGCTGTGTGTCTAACAGTCGGAGCTGATTCTGCTGAACTAACACCAGAACAAAGACACAGAACGGACTCCCTTCTCTCTGTCTTTGGCAAAGACATGTTAGAAAACATCAGGGTTCTGGTTACAGGTGCAGATGGTCGGTTGCCTCCAGTTCTGAAGTCCATCATAGCTTCAGGTGTCCCATGTCCTAAAAATAAAGACCGGCTGCCGATCCACTTCAAGTTCAATGAGTCGGCTCTGTTTGCAGACAACAACGCTGCTGCTGAAGGAACCCAGTGGGCAGAGGACCCAGGGGAAGCTGAAAGCTTTGACCAGATATTCTGGAACATGAACACAAAAAGCATGAAGAGATTCTTTGATGATCTGAAAGTAATGAAGAGCAAAGATTTGTGTCCAGTGAAAGAGATAATCAGAGAAAGAACAGAGCTGGAAGAGCAAGTGGAAAACCTCCAGGAGCGGATTAAAGGCAGAATAGGAGCGCTGGTGGGGACCAGAGCTTCTAAAATGCAATCATTTCGTAAGATCTTTGTGAATTGTCAGCAGTGTCACATGACCTGTCAAACATCAAGGTGGGCAATATTGGCAGAAAACGGATTCTGCACCGAGTGTCCTGGCAGATGTTACCGCAGTGTCCATTTCATCCAGGACTACAGATGGCGCTACGAGAAGGCAGAAGACATCCACATATCAATAATCTCCTGGGACGTCTTCGATGAGGTGATCCAATGGATGAAGACGTCTTCAGAGTGTTTAAACAAATTGAAGGAAATCTCCCTGAAGCCAGATCCCCTCTCAGTGAGAGAGTATGTGAATCTGATTATTGAAGGAGAGAGGAAAGAGGCCGAACCAGGCTGGGAGGAGCGGGTTGGAGTGCTGCATATGCTCAGACATCATAGATTTCCTTCCAGTGTAATTTCCTGAAGGACAACAGTCATCAGTCATTAATCCACAAAAAAAAAAAAACTTTTAATCTGCTCTAATCCTATAGATATGATTAAAGTGGAACGTCTATTCAGTTTTTCTAAGGATTTTCTTCCCATAGTACCACGCACTTTCCAAAAACAATCATTTCAGTTCAGTCACAAAGATTCCAATCAATCGTCATCAGTCAGTGCATTTAGCTTCATTTATTATTAAGCTTAATGAAAGCCAGCAGAGCATTGAGTCGCTGACATCACTTGTGTTGCTGACTTCACCACCAACCTTCATACCCAGCATGCATGCAGCAGCTGCAGAAAGGAAAAAAAACTCCCCTTTGACAAGAAGAAATCAACCAATCTAATGTCTCCTATCTCTGAAGTCTATTTCTCTGAATGTGAAATCAATGTGTGAGAAATAAGCCGTTTGCAAGAGGAACTTTATTCTGCTTATAGTAGCTATAGAGGCAAAAATACTTTGGTTTAACTGAGAAAATACTTCTGCTGTTTTATAAATCACTGAATGACTTAAAGACCTGTTGTCATAGCAACCCTTTCAGACCCATCAGGTGGTCTTCTGGTTCTGATCATTGGTTAATATTTTTGAAGTACATTTGTTTGATGCTTTTTGCTGTGTATTTCATTAATGTGAAAAACTTTAAACTGCCTCACTGCTGAAATGTTTGCCACCAATAAAATTTACTTACCTGCATCGTCCAGGTAGGGGCCTCTGGTCTAATGTCTTCTCCCTGACCTTCTATTGTGACAATAAAACTTAATTTTGAATATGAGAAGGGCAAAACTTCTGCAAAGAAATGAAAGAGGACTGGGTTTATTCCTGGCATTGACTACTCAGCAAAGGGAAGGAAAACAGGCAGAGGCGGGTAGAGAACTGTACCCGAGAGTAGTTCTGTTTCAGCTTTGTTTTACACAAATAACAGTAAAAAGTAGTCAAATAGTCAATTATTGATAGAAAAATATGATTTAATATCTTAAAATCATGTCATCAAACAGCAACATGTTTAGCAAACAGGCCTAAATAAAAAAATCTCTGAATAAGACATTGAGGTAAAGAATTCTTAAAGTCTGTTTGCTTTCCAACATTAAACTTCATGTTGGTAACCTCTATGTCAGAGGAGAGGAATGTCCTCCACTAACAGTAGTGTTTACTTTATCTTATTGTTCTCCGAACAGACAGAAGAACAAAGCTGGTGTAAAAACAAAAAGTCTGTAGATGTGTCTGTGTCTCATTTGATTGTTTAGAATAAAGTAATATTTAGTAAATTGGAGTATACTTTTTAAGGAGGCTGGCTAATTGGATTAAAAATACCTTTTGAATGTCATACTGTACTCATGAAAACATTCTCCATTTGTTACGTGGGACATTGGCTAAATTTGACCGGATATGGTGTCCCCTCCTGGACATTCTAACCAGATTAGAGCTGAGAGACTGATCAATATTGATCTTTACTGTGTTTCAGTTATTCCAATATTTGTGTTGTGCTTTTTTCTCTTGATTCTGACCTTTCAAATAAATAGTTAATGCTTAGTATAGTACTACTACAGTGTACATGTGTTGGTACATGGAGAGAGTGGGTGGGTTTGTTTTTGTTGTCTCTTTTTGTTTTTTTAAGGTTCCAAAAATAAGAAAGAAAGAAAACCATTGTACATTGGATGTAGATTTCATTTGGACATATGTTCTAAATAAATATATATATACAAAAAAATACCTTTTGTAAATAACAATCTTTAAACATGTACTGTACTTCAGTATGTATATAACTTCTCAAAAGCATTAGAATGTATTAAATATAACTGTATCTCTGTTCGTTCTTCACTGAGTTTGAGTTTAAGTTTTACTCAAGTAAGAGTTGCAGTCGCTCATAATGTTGCCAAAGTAAAAAGCATAGGGCAATAAAACTAATCCTAAAAGTTTTGCTACTGTTCTGGGAAAAAGGTATTCGACTATACAGTCCAGTTAAATAAATGAAATTAGTTAAATAAAGCAGTCCATGTGTCTAAGGCGGGGCCCACCGTGGACAAGTCGCCAGTCTGCCGCAGGGCAACACAGAGACACACAACCACGCACACACAGTCACATCTAAGGACTATTTAGGTACCTGGGGAGAACCCACGCATGCACAGGGAGAACATACCAACTCCATGCAGAAAGACCCCGGGAAGAGAATGGAACCTGGAACCTTATTGCTGCGAGGCAACAGCATTACCCACTGTGCCACTGATCCACCATGCAGCCCAATATCCAAAATATTAGCTTTTTAAACATAAAAATAGATAGTAAATAAAAAAATCCTTCATCAGCAAACAGTGCTAAAAAGCAACTAAGATATGTACAATAGTTAAAGCAGTCCCAAAATCAGTTCAGGGGCCAAAAATGGCCCCAGAGTCAAACTTTGGCTACATACGCTACAGATAAGAGATGATTCCGGATCAGGGGCCAACCGGATCAGCTGACTGCTTTGATGCAGAGAGGCGGAGGCTCTTCTTCCAGCTCCTCAGCCTGTGGTTCCAGAGGAGGCTCAGCTCTGCCGCTGGAATCCTGGACCAGGTTCTTTGGGTCGTGGTCCAGATCTCATGATTCTAATCTTTCAGGTTATTTATGAAAAAAATAAACAAATAAAAACAAAGTAATATCCCAGTTCCTCCTTCTGATGAGTTTGGGGATGGATCAGACTTGTTCTGTGTTTCCATCTCAGTGGTAGCCTTCAGGAGGTCCTGGATCAGGACTTGGTTCCGACCCGCTGACGACTCATGCAGGTCTTCTACGATTCATCACAAAAATTTGAATGCAGAAGACTCCATATAAGAAAATCACAGTAGAGATGGACACGCCCAAAATCCCTCTGGCAATTTTCTCCTCTTTATCCCTCTCTTCTCTGTCCTCGTCTTCTCTGTTCTTGTCTCCTCTGTCCTCGTCTTCTCTGTTCTTGTCTCCTCTGTTCTCGTCTTCTCTGTTCTCATCTCCTCTGTCCTTGGGAGGTTCCAGCTCGCCTCCTGCTTCCAGCTCGCCTCCTGCCTCCTCAGGTTCTTCCTTACCTGCGGAGCAAAAACAGGTTCAGTGAATGCTTCTCTGACCTTTGACCCTCTGTGTTTGCTGTACCTAAAACTGTGAGGAGGATGGAATGTCTGCACTCAGAGGAGTCTCCTCCTGGGTTCCTGGTTTTCACCAGGCAGTCATACGTTCCTTCATCTTCTGTGCTGACGTTCTGTAGAACCACAGAGAAGTCTCCGTCCCTCATAGGAGATGGAGTCACCTCCACCCGCCCTCTGAAGGTGGCATGCTGGTAGTGCTCATGGAAGCGGTTCTCTCTGAAGAAGAGCAGGTAGCCATCGGGGAGATCAGATCTCTTCCAAAAGAATACGATGATGGAGGCATCTTGAGGACCCGGACACGGTAGGGACACGTTCTGTCCTGGTCTCGCCTTCACCTCCTGTTGCTCTGATGGAAACAAAAAGGGATCACATCCAGCTTCCTGTCCATCCCAGCAGGAAGGAGGATCAGATCTAAAGCTGCAGTTTAACCTAAATTCTTCTCATTTTACTGTAAAACCAAACATTACGTGAGGAATAAGCTGGTATTCAGCTCCACCCGGAGCCCACAAACTGGTTCTGATAGCTCACCTTGTTCTGCAGAGATCCCACAGATGATAAGGAGGAAGACGGTAGCAACCTTCATAGTAGCAGAAGCAGTCAGAAACAGTCAGGAGGACCCGCCAGGATTGTTATTCCGGTTCTCCTCAGGACTCTTCAGTAACTGCGTCATGTTAGAGATAAAACTCTCTTTAGTTTGAGGAAGCTGCCGGCTCTCTACCGATCCGCCCCTCAGTGGAATCAGGAAGTCCTAAACAAAAAATAGGGAGGAGCCTCAAACAGCAGAGCTGCTGGGTTAGAAGGTCTAGATAAAGACAGGTAAGAAAAGAGGTTCTAGTGAGGCGGTAACTGGGTCAAAGCTGAGCTAAATCTGCAGGGAGAACACAACAGAGAGAGAAGGAAAGTAAAAACTCAGAAATGGTAGAGGATTAATCATCCATGAGGCAAAAGAGGATGTTTGGGTATCAGAGATCTGATGCTTTCAAGGAAACAACCCAAAGATCCAAACAGGCTCTTTACCTAAACGGGTCCATCTCCTGAGGTGGCAAATAATGGAAAATAATCAGACGGTTTAAACTCTGCTAAAAGTAGCTCAATATGAAAGGAAAAAAAAAACTCTTGGACAGTCATTACATCTGTCTCTGCTTTGAAGGGGAAATAGAAGAGGACCCAGCACTTACAGCCTTTTCTCTGGATGCTGGAGCATCGATCTGCTGTAGTTTCACCTTCATCTTCAGCTGCTTTCGTTTCTGAACATGTTGCTGCTTCCTGCTAAGATTTCTGGTTAAAAGTTAAACACTAGGCCGCAAAATCAGAAGAGAGCTAAACTGACTGAATGTAGAGCTACTGGAGGTAGAGCTAAATATCCAATAAAGAATGGTGTAAGAAATATAAAAACTCAGTCATGAATCACAAATAGTATAAAAATTAGAACAGAATTGTGCAACAGCTTTAAAATAATGACAAATTCTCATATTTGTGAAAACACTTAAAATAATAATCTTAAAGAGACTAACTCTGGACACCTGGGCTCCTGAGTGACATTTATTTACATTTCAGGACATTCTTTACTTGGTTGTAGATAAACTTTTTCCATTGTCTGCTGAAAATCGTCTGTTTTCATCCATGAGGGGAAAACATCCGATCATATTCATCATAAAAACATATGAATCAAATACTTAAATTAGCTTTATTTAGGTACATTGTGAACGTTATTAGGATCTGAACACTTCTGACAGCCTCTTTTACTGAAATGTTCAAACATGGATGGAATCTGAGGACGATTGTCTGTAGTTAGCTCCTTTAACCAGCAGGTGGCAGCAGTAGCTCTGCACAGAGCTCCAGTCTGGAACACACAGAGATATTTGGTCCCTCCTCAGTTTTCAACAATAAAGCCAATAAGAAAATGGATGCATGGAACTCCATCCATGTAAACAGCGTGAAAAGACACAGAAATAAACATCTGCAGCAACGGGCTCCTCCCACACACAGCCGCACAGCAACTATGCTGTCCTTTTTTTTTCTAAAAGGTTCATGCAATCATGTTATCAATATACTTCATATCATTTATAACTATTGCAGAGCAAAAACACATTTATTGATCATTTTAAAATATCATTTTTTTCTGGAACTTTTTATTTCATTACAGAACAACGGAACAGGAAGTTCCAACAGGAAGTTCCATAAATCCACATAATCCATAATTTTGCTCTGATTTCTGCTGTTCAGTAGACGCTCAGATTAATAGACAAACTAAAGACAAGCTTGAATGGACGAAATCTGATGGGATGTTCTTCATCAGCAGGAGAAAAAACTATTAAAAAAGAACAAGTTAGAGACATTTAAATGATCTGGTCCAATCCAGGACACAAAGTAGGTCTGCTGGGCTCTGAGGAGGTCTAGTTAGCAGCTGGGCGGGTGCTCCTGCTGTGGTGGTGTCATGGTCGCCTTCAGTAAAGAGTAGATGACGTGTGTTTCTGTTTCTAATGAAGGTTCTGGAATAGAAACAGAATATAAATGGGTCAAACATGGCATGGCTTCCTGCTGAAGTGTTCTTTAGAGTGAGGTGATGCTAGCTGAGGTGGATCTTCTGGTTCTTACCTCTCCTGCTGTTCTTCCTGATGCTGACTGACCCATACGTGACTTCACTTTGCCTCCTCATCGAAGGACAAACTGTACCTGAATCCGTTTCTGCAAAAGAAAACAGTTAGTCACTAAAACCAATGAGGTTTCCTGTGAAATCAGATCATATTTTGTCTGTTTGACACCTCAGCTGCTGCTGTTGAACAGCAAGGCATTAAGAAGTTACTGTCAGAAATAACACAGGAAACTAGAGGATCGGAAAGCTTCTGTCTGTTAGAAACATGAAAGTGTTTCACACACTGAATCAAGGTGTAAAAAGCTCAGAGAAATGTTTAAATATTGAATGCCAGATGTAGAAGTGTTGCTTCCAGTCAGATGATCCTTCTGAGGAGGCTCCATCTAAAGCTGTGGCTTACATTGTATAATATTTTCAATCATTGCACACAGCTACAGCTCACACTGTATGAGGAAATCATAGGATTTAAAAGTGAACAGCTCATGATGTTTGTTCCCACCCTGTGCGGCCTGATGCTCTGATGCCATCTACCTGCTTACACTGTACATCTAAAAATCACAATTCGCAGTGAGATGGCGCTACAAGGACTCGTCTATCCAGAAGCCAAACAAGTAGCAGAGGAATATGAAGCTCACTAGAGTGAAACGCACTGCTTTGGAAATTTGTGCAATTTTGTTCTGAAAGCCCTAAAAAGAAAAGGAGACGACGTATTTGGACAAAAACATGGCTGAGCAAACGTGGCTACTACAGTCTGTCAATTTTACAGACAGAACTGCATTTCATTCGCACCCCGCCATGGTTCTGGGCTTACATCTGAGAGGAAGAAGAAGGAGAAGAAGAGTCCTTGTTTGCGCACTAAACGATTTGCCCATGACCACCTTACGACAGTGGCACCACCAGGGGGTGGCGGCATTGGGTGGCCAACCCACTCGCCGGTGTAAATTGTAGTAGCATCAGTTGAGCATTTTATCCCATTATGCACAGCCAATGATGTAACTGTCAGAATCACACAATAAACTAAGATATGAATATGTGTTTACTTAAGTATTTAAGATTTCTACCTGTAGGTTTACCACAGTAGTAGTTTCAAACCCTGAAATGATGGCTTTTAGTTTCAGTGTGCCACCACAAGATTTTAAGTGGCCCCATCTGCCAGCCCCCCCATGAAAGATTTCTGGAGGTGCACACTGCCTCACGACAGCCGACTGAATTTTACACATGTATGATTTCATCCCGTCCTAACGACTCCTGATCGGGAGGTGGTTGTGAGAGGCTGATCGCCCCTCGTTACCCCCTGTATACTACATGACGCACGATTAGGCTGAAAGTCGGCTCCATCGAATAAATTCTCAGACGACTAGAGATTTGGACTGAAAAGACCAAGAAATTGTGCAGTGTATGCCCTGCTTAATACAAACAGCTCTACTACTGTTTGTTCTGAATGGTGCAGCTCAGCCAAACCCATCTCAGGGTCTCATTCCTCCTCATTACCCATATCTCATATCCATAGGGGAGGGTTGGAAGATGGATACATAAGTCGTATTACTGCAGATAAAGCTCCAACCGTCCTTCAATCCCAGCCAAGAGAGGAGGTGTTTGAACCTGAAGAACCTCCAAGGATCAGACCCCATGGTGCTTAAGAACTGTATTTTGATTATTCTGTCTAGATCCAAATGATGAGTACCATCCAAAGGCTTATTAACACCATTTCTGTATTAGTATCTGGTTGAGAGATTTCTAAGGAACAAGAAGCCAGCTTAGAGTTCTGGTCTGTTTCCATAATGTGTTTATCTTCTGAAACCAAAAGTGTTTTCACTGCCCAATTGAAATGCACCCTTACTCTGGGTTAAAATAAGGTAGGTACTGAATAATCAAATAAAACATATATGGAGGTAGGTACTCCACATAGCACCATTTTATGATCTAAAATGTTTGATTTAATTCACGTCAACACCAGAAATAGTTTGATCGGTCTCCTCTACTCTTTATGCCATGGCAATATCTATCATTGAAGGATGGACAGCCCTAATTGGTCTGAAGACCTCTGCTATATATACGGTTCAGCCCAGCTATTGGGGCCAGATCATCAAGTCCCGGTGAGCATACACATACATGACTGCGTTCAGCTTCTCGGCTCTAATGGTGAGCTATTCACCCCACCGTAGCCTCTCTCCTGCTTGTGCGTGGATCTTTTTCTGCTCATTTGTACCACTGTGAGGATGCGAAAAAAAGTAAACTGCTTGTGATTACCTCATTTTGAGAAAGTCCTGCCTCATAAGACAGTAGTGTGTTCTTCCTTGCTGTGGCTAGGATGTTAGAAAAGCACCTTCAGACTAATCACTGTTTTCTGCACAAGCAGAATTTTGACTTCATATCATATTCTGTGATCAATTGACAATTTGATAAACAGAGTGAACACAAAAAAGTAAATAAGTTACAATAAATGTCAACTGTTAAGAAATCTGTGTTCTTTCACAAATATTCATAGTGAAGCAAACATTAGCTTAGCACATACCAAGTTCCAAATTTAACATTGCTTGTTGTAGGTTTCAAGCATATGTCTACAGCTGTTTTAATGCAACCATGACTTGATTAAACCAAGTTATTTATTGATGACTTTGCCCAACCAGTTTCTAACTCTTTCTTAGAACAGATGTTAGCCGGAAGATACTTTGCTAACATTGCTAGCCACATTTAGGGATGATACAGTGCATTCTCAAGAAGCTGATTTTCCTTAAAAGTAGTAGATAATCACTGTATAGGTTGTGTATTTTTGTATCAAATAAAGTTCCTTTTTATGGGTATTTACTCCACATGGGCCTTTGTCTTTTGATTTCAAAGTTAATGGACAAATCTCCCCCCAAGCCATAATACACTGACTCCACCTAGGTATTATAAAACACACAATGGCTGTAAATGTACCTTTTAAGCAGTTTGGTGCTTCAGGAATGTCTGTTGTTTTTCTTTGTATTGATGAATAAATCGCCTCTGGGTCACTTTCTGCAAATGGAAGAAAAATGAAGAGATTAAACACATATTCATACCTAAGTGGAAATTGAAAGACGCATTAAATGGACCACCATGTTTCACACAGATGGGCCCAATCTAGGATCCTGATCTTGGACCTTTGGGCTGAAAGGGACCAACCTTAACCAAACATTCATCTTTGAGATCTCTGATTTGCTTTTTATATGGTGCATAATTTGATAAATCATTCACAAACAGATGTTTTATTCCCAGTCTCATTATCAATAGAACATTACGAAACACCTTTCCATTCACAAGCATAAACATCATTATAGGATTAAGATGTTAGTGTCTTACTGCAGTCGAGCTGAGAATTTTAGTGTGAATGGATTCTGTTTGATTGCTTCAAAAATAAAAGCAAGAGATGAGATGTTTGTTGGATATAACAATCCAACAAATCAGAAAGGCTCAGGTTATCCTGAGCTATCTCTATAGTTCTGCTGCTATAGGCACAGACTGCTGGAGGACATATGGACCCCCATTTCATCATTCTGCTTCATTCTATCTCTATTCTTCCACTCTATTAGTTCAATCTCTAACGTTCTGCTCTCTCTGCTTTTTCTCATAGTAGCTTCATCTGGTCTGTTCCTGTTTGGCTGTGACTCCATCCTGGAGAGAAATATCAGCTGTGCTGCTGCCATCAACACCTTTGTTTATAGATGTTCGAGATTTGCCTGTTTTACAGCTGTTTTTTCTATGTCTGCTTCTGTCTCCTTGAACCCCAGTCGGCCTCATAGATGGCCGCTCACACTGAGCCTGGTTCTGCTGGAGGTTTCTTCCTGTTAAAAGGGAGTTTTTCCTCTCCAATGTCACTACAACCATCCTTAAGGTGAGGGATTGCATCAAAAATCAACTGGTTTTCCTTAGATAGAAAACTTTGAATGAATTTGACTGTATGATCTGGTGAACTGTAGAGTGCCTTGAGATGAAATGTGTTGTGAATTGGAGCTATAGAAATAAACTGAATTGAACAGAATTGAATAAATTTTACACAAATCAGATAATCCAGCAATGTTAATGGACAAATGCATTTTTACCATGTATTCTCATCTTTACTCAGCAAAGTTAGGCATTAGTTATAAAACCCATGCTGAATAGTTAATGTACCTGTTTTACAGTTTGTTGCTTTACTGATGTCTGTTGTTCTTCGTATTGATGAATAAAGTGCTGCTGGATCACTGTCTGCAAATTGAAGACAAGTTAAGGGAATAAACACCAAGAATAAAATATCTGCACATTGTAAACATGATCACAAGTTCAGCTTAAAGCAGAGAGAAATACGAAATAATGAGCTGCTTCTCCTTGAAGCTCTCTTCTTAATGCCTCCCCTTCAGGTAACTACTCTTGCTTATACACTCATTAAAGTCAGCTTTTTTCTCCAAAGAATCCATAGATGACATCCCTTTTATGACACCATCCAAACGGCTGTTGGGTCCATAAGCACAGAAGACAGTTAAAACCTCTCCACCACAACACTTTCCTTGGGAAAATCCAGTGTAGGAAAGAGTCGGGAGAGTTGGGCGAGTTAAAAGTAGCTTTCAGCTCTACTTCAAGCCAATTTCGGTCTTTCTTCAGTCTCCCAGTGGAGGCAGGTCATTTCAGGTACTTGTATCATTCTTTCAAGAATTACCCCAATTTTGAGCCAACAGTTGATTCAATGGCAAAGACCTAATAATCACTTAATAATCTGACTATATTTAGTTGTGAAGAAATGTCCTGAATGGACATAATCTCCAGGTAGCATCATATCACAGAACCAGGCAAGAATGCTCTGAGCTCCTGAGAATGAGCCATTCCTTCAAAATTGTTTTGGGGGGCAAAGTACATAACAGAATGCCCAGGCAGGATCTGATCCCACAGGGAAGCAACGTGTGCTGACCAGTCAACCAAAGGCATATCTCCTTGGCAAAGTAGCCAGGACACATGATCAATCAGAGGCATAGTGACAAGACCACACTGTTACATCTCCCACTCTTTCCACCAGCATGTCCTCGTGCTCCACAGAGGCTACCACAGCCCTTTATGAATATATGAATTGTTTACTGGTATTGCACTGGTGTCTATCCTGCCAGCAATCCCAGAATGTTGCAAGGTACAGACTGATACCCCATTTACACTACCCTTGAAAAACCGATCCATGCCAAGACTGGTCCGAGCTCAGATCAGTTAATCAGGCCGAGCTCGGTTCTGACGACCGTTTACACATAACGCTATCTCGGTTCCTCGCCTCCTAGTGACGATCTGCGGTATTACTGCCAGTATTGAAGGAGGAAATCAAGCAGTTGGTGGCGGTAATGCACCAAAAGTTGTTTGCCAACCGCCATAAAACACAAGAAGAAGAAGACGAAGAAGGAGGTAATCAAGCAAATCAAAATGGCGCCGCCCATCACATTATGCTTGATTATTATTGCTGTATTTCGGTGTTTGCGGAGGGTCAGGCGAAGAAGGCAACCTTTTGTGGATGTTTATTGTTGTTTATAGTTGTTGTTCTTCTTCTGTTTGGTGTTGGTTGGCACGCAACTTCCGGAGGGGCATTACCGCCAACTACTGGAATGGAGTGTGAATCGGGATGTGCAGCCAGACGGAGATGTCGCGCAGTCAGTCAAAGGGATAGCCCTGTGGCCAAGTGGTCTGGAAGCATAATCAGTCAGAGGCTTATACCCCATTTACACTACCCTTGAAAAACCCGGCCGAGACCGGTCGGAGCTCAGTAACTGAGATAACTTGAGATAACATGTGTAAATGGAAAGCAAACCGAACTTAACCAAGCTAGACACAACCGAACTTTACAGTTCCGGTTGAGCAGTGTTCAGAGCAGCACTTCTCCCTCTGTTTAACTTCTTCAATAAAACCCATTAAACCTTTTCCCTGGTCTCTCAGTTCGGTTTTCTGCATTTGGGTCTGAACTTTGTAACATCATGACAATTTGCAGCCTAGGCCTATATGACTAATGTTAAATGTACCTGGTGTTCCATTAGCATCTGGTGCTCTTCTCATTGATAAATAAAGTTCTGTTGGGTCACCGTCTGCAGATGAAAGACAAAGAGAATATAAATGATAAAGCACCCAAATAAAAGCTGAGGCACTTTTTCTGGTCTTCAAAGCAACCTCAAGCAAAATATTTACAATAGTTTGTGGATTTTATGAACCAGAGCAACACCAAGTAACACACAGTGGGAAAATGGAGAGAAAATGACTTTCTTGAATAATTTGAGGGCACGTTATTTAGTCCCCCCACCACCCTGACACCCCAAAATAAAGACATAGCAGCCTTTTGTTTTACCCCCGATGTTACAAACAGGCAGAAAAATCCCTGTAACTGAGTCTGAATAATAAAAAAAAAAAGTACTTTAACTTCCGATATCAATAAACAAGCGGTTTAATGTGGGAGGAGTTGTTCAACACAGCAAACATGCTGAGAGCGAAGCACAGCTCTCGGAGGTGAAGACTGAAACTAGTGCAGAGAACAGGAAACCGAATAACAGCAAAACTTTGCATACTTTGACCTCAGACACATGATCAAACACCCAGCCACCAGAAAAGCTTCAAATGAGTGCCAACCCACCTGACTAGAAATACAAAACCACATAAAACAAACATGCAGCACGGCAGAGGTGGGCTATACATAGATAGAATCAGACAAAATAAATAAAAGCTGCAGAGCAAAACATGCAGAGAATCGATTACCTCTAGGTTTCCCGCAGAAGGAGCAGCTCACTGAAAGAATTAGAAGGAGAAAAATCACCAGAACACCAATACATGCAACAAGAATGACCTTGTAGAAAGGAAAGAGGGGGTCCAGGGGAGGAATGATGGTAGGGGCTGGAGGAGTACTGCTGGGTTTTCCTGAAATGATCAGAGAGTTATTATTAACTTCTTTCCTCATAATGAAGGTTGAAGCAAAGAGAGAAGCTCCTGACCTTCAACAGAGATCCAGCTGGATGGAGACTCTCCATGACCCCTGATGTTACACCTGTAGAGGCCTTGATCAGAGCGGTTCACATGGTGGAGGGTCATGTGACCTTTGGGCTCAGTCCTGATGAGGGAGCCATCTTTATAGAAAGCAGCTGGGAGGTTGGAGGGAGTGGTCTTTGTTAGACAGCTCAGAGTGACGTCATCTCCCTCCATCACAGGGAGGACAGGACTCTGCAGGATCACTGATCCACCTCAACACAGAGACAAACTACAGCATTTCATCCATTTCCACACAGCTTCATCAACACTAACTCCACAGTCTGATCTTACCAGTGACAGTGAGCTGGATGCTGCTGCTGGCTGCTCCCTCTCTGGACGAACACCAGTAAACTCCACTGTCTATCAGGAGGATGTGATTTAAGGTACATGAAGAGTAATTGGATTGACCCCATTCATTGCATCCAGCTCTGGTCTCTTTGGTTGTGTTCCTCCTCACAGTCCATCCAGCAGAGCTGTTGTTCTCCTCACAGCTCAGAGACACAGAGTCATATTGAAAGAACTGAGATCTGCTGGGACTCACAGTCAGAGCAGCTAACAGAGTTTAAAAGAGCAGAAAAATATATCATTTAGATTATTCCATGTGAACCATTACAGTGTGTTGGTAAAGGACCTCATATTTTAACCACAAACCTCTGGCTGTTCTTAAACTGAAATGATTGTGATAAGAACTGGACGACCGTGTGAGATCTAAGGGAAATGATCCATGATGAATTTACTAACCTGGGTTTGTTGTCCAGAGAAGTTCTGATGTCAGCACTAAAATGATCGATAAAGTTTATATAAAACAGCTGCTGCCCAATGTGACATCAGTAAAATGAAACAATGCTTAAATAGCCTTTAAAACATAATAACTATAAACTTAAGCCGAGAAAAAAAAAACACCCACATATTCTACATGTATGTAAAGATGTGACAGTGACAGCTGGAAATAAAGCCAACATGACAGAGAGTTTGATGGAGGGAGCTACAGATTATGGTGATGGTAGGGAGGCCTTCCATCCCTAAAGATGTGATTCACATCATTAAAAATGAATCTTCTCAATACCAGTAAACATGGAAAAAGCTTCTCAGGAATGACTAGAAGGGTCAGACTGGGCTGCATGTGTCCACCTTAAAGGAAATATAACGTTTTTTAAACAGAACTAAAAAGATAGCTATAAATGTGAATATATATTCTGTTTGTGCAGGGTTGCTGAGGGGTTGTGGTCTGTCGTTATTGGTTACTCGGAGAGGCCAGGGTCTAGAAAACATGCTGCCCTCAGCATATAAACATGTTCTTAACCACATTACTTTCACAAACAACACCAGAACCCTTTTTTTCTTTCTTTTTTAGAAATGTGCACACTGATTTCCTTCTATTAAGCAAAACAAGCTCCACCCAGGACCGGTCCACACTTAGACCACACTCCTGCACAGGTTGGATTTATTAAAACGATATCCGCCTGCACCCGTAGAACCAAGACCTGACCTGTAATCATCCCTATTAAAACCTGACACCGCCCGCATCCGTAGAGTTCAGAACTAAGACCCAACCCATTACCTGCAAGTATCCCCATTTAAACCCGGCTGTGACGTGGACCCGTAGAGTTCAGAACTGAGACCGGACCTGTTTCCCGCAAATATCCCCATTTAAAACCCAGACATGCCAGAGAGACCCGTAGATATTAAAGAGCGACTCCACCTGTGATCACAAAGTGAACACACAGCTGTAAATTGTCCGAAGTAAGAAGGCTTTGCTGATGCAGTGATACAGAAGAACATTACAAAAAGACTAATCAACCTTAAAGTCTGTTTCAGGGCTGTAGGATGAACCCAGAGTATCCAGAGAGAAACCATAGGGATGACCAAGCTAAGCCAGATTGATGCAGAAGGACTTCAGGCCTGGATTTGCACCCAGAACCCTCTACTTGCACGGAAACATCCTCAAAAGTGCAGCTCTGCACCGTATGCAAAATGCTAATCATGTGACGTGATCTCTGCTTGATGGCAGGTTGGAGATGTTATCATTTCACATCAGACCTTCATCATGTCCCACTGACTGACTGGCCTAAATCTGGCTTTTTACAACAATAAATACATCATGTTGAATAGAAAAACACTAAATGCTGAATGATACAGGTGTGACTCTTCCCTTCTGCTATCTTTGTTCCGTCTTTCTTTGATCTCTGAGTCTCCTGGACCCTAAAGGTCGGATCTCGCTCCGGCTTATAATGTGTTTTGGAAAACATCAGATAATAGATAAATATGTATCGATGAATATTCTCCATCGTTTCTCATATCTGACAGCCTGCTTTAAATGAAATAGTGTAAATATGACATTTCTTACTCACAGAGCAGCCATGTGGAGGATGTTGATCTCATTGTTCCTGACACTTTCTGTGAATTCAGATGAGTCTTTTATCACAGAGGTGAACCCTCCCCTTCCTGTGGTTACATCAAGTTTTTTTTTTATTGCTCTGTGTTTTTGCTCAGTTTGCAGGAAATAAGATCCTTGCCTGTTTGCTTCTTCAGCTCAGATTGACAGAAGTGCAGATCTTAGATAAAGATCTGAGAGAAACACCTGAAATTCATCAAGGAAACAAACTTCACTTTAAATGTATTTCTATTAACCACTTTGAACTGTTTTAGATTCCTTTAAACGTTCTTGGAGATTTCAGGGCACTGATGATGCTCCTTTGATTCATCAAAGGAACTTCCAGAACTATGCAAACATGAAAAAGAAGAAACAGATGAAATATGAAAGAGAAGAGTGGTAGGAAAGCAGGAAGTGGGTCCAGTTCGATTTAAATTAAAATAGATGTTTTATTACACTTCAGAAAATATAGACAATGTTGGAGGGAAGCATAAAACAAGAACTAATCATTACTTCATCTGGTGCTCCCCCTGCTGGCCTAATAACAACAGTACTGAATAACAGAATAACACTGAAACATTCTTAATGTTTCTGATGCAGCGGCTCTAAATGCTGCTAAATCTGAGAGAAAAGTGAAAACTAGAACTTAGTGAAACAGAAAATGATGAGTAGAGTTTCCATAACGTGCAGCTTCACCTGAAACAGACACAGATCTACGTTCAGCTGCAGCCCATTGCTCTGCCCTCCTCACCCAGCGACAGCTGGCTGCTTTCTGCTCCGCCATCCTGCAGCTCCAGATAATCAGAGCAAATCTCTGACATTTCCTAAATCCTCTACAGAGACCAAGGTCAGACCTTACAGAGACCAGAAAAAGGAATTCTGTCCAACAAACCCAAAACTTCAGCTTCTTTTATTGAGATTCGACGTAACAACCAGCACAGAGCAGAAGTCAGTTGATTCTGGTTCTCCACATTTCTTCAAAATGTGGCAAACACCTGACTCATCTCCATTCTGAGAAACTAGTCCATGCTTTTGTTACTACAAGGCTGGACTATTGTAATTCTTTACTATCAGGAAGTCCACAAACTGTAGTTAAAAGCCTTCAGCTGATCCAAAATGCTGCAGCCAGAGTTCTGATGAAAATGAAAAAGAGAGATCATATCTCTCCTATCCTGGTTTCCTTCATTGGCTTCCTGTTAAATCCAGAATAGAATTTAAAATCCTCCTTCTCACATATAAAGCCTTAAATGGCCAAGCTCCATCTGATATCAGAGATCTGATTGTTCCTTATGTTCCTAACAGAGCACTTCGCTCTCAATCTGCAGGTTTACTAGTGGTTCCTAGAATTTCTAAAAGTAGAATGGGAGGCAGATCTTTTAGTTATCAGTAGTGTTGCGCCGATGCCATTTTTTGGCCCTGATACCGATACCTGGCTGTGCAGTATCGGCCGATACCGATACCATAATAATGTAAAATAATTGCCATCATGGCTTTGTCAAGCTGCTGCCTACCTTTGTGAAGCAGGAAAAACATCTAATACAAAGTGAATCCAGTAGAACTTTTTATTGAAAAGTTCCACTAGATAATAAAAAATAAAACGTTTTTATTGCCTACTAGGACTGGGTGACAATAGTTGAATAAACTTATGGCTCTCAAAATGGTATCGGTGCCCTATTTGTTGGTACTCGCCGATACCGATACCACCATTTTAGGGCAGTATCAGGCCCCCGTCCGATACTGGTATCAATATCGGTGCAACACTAGTTATCAGGCTCCTCTCCTGTGGAACCAACTACCAGTTTTAGTCCGTGAGGCAGACACCCTGTCTACTTTTAAGGCTAGGCTTAAAACTTTCCTTTTTGATAAAGCTTCTAGTTAGAGTGGCTCAGGTTATTCTGAGCTATCTCTATAGTTCTGCTGCTATAGGCTTAGACTGCTGGAGGACATGAAGGACACTTTTCATCATTCTGCTTCATTCTATCTAATCTCTAATTCTCAAGTATTTATTTGTTCAACATTTGCCAAATGTTTTATCTGCCTATTGTCATCATCATCTGGTCTGTTCCTGGTTTTCTCTGTGTCCGTTCTGGATGAAATATTCCATCAACGCCTTTAATGAAAGATGATTTGTCATAATTTATAGTTTTCATTGTCCTTGACCGGGGATGGCCGATGACACTCTGGAGGGACTATGTCTCTGCTGGCCCTTGAACAACTCTGGCTTTCCCTAGAGGTGGAGGAGGCTTCTGGGGGTGGGTCTCTCCTAGACATAGCCATGTACCCTCTCATATGTCTCCTTTTTGACATGAAACCCACTCATAGCTCATCTGCTCTGCTCTTTCTTTCCCAGACTGAGGCACTTACGGAGCCTATTTACTGTTTCCTATTCTAACATAGATCAGTACTTCTATGTTCCCTTTTAAAGGCACACTATGCAACATTTTTCAGTTAAATAATGTGTTCCATAATGTTTTGGATGATTAAATGAGTCATTTCAGGTCGAACAAAGGTTTTCTCGGCCGCCCTGGTGGTCTGTAGGGGAAATACCATACTTGCAATTGCAGGAGCCCTCGGCCCGCGCCCGCGAGAACTGCTACATGCCCCTAGTGAAAGGCATGCTCGTTGCTAGCGCAGTGGCGATATTTGTGCAGTTATCATGGTGGAACCAGCGAGAAAACAGCAAAAGCCCATGTCGGAGCAGGCAAGAAAGAGGAAAAGGGCTCTCTATCGCAGTAGACATGGTGATTCGTTGCGTTCGCCTGGGGGGAGCCTCGCTGGAAAATCAATACCAGTTGTAAAGTATACTTTGTGGGAACTTAAAGGTATCTGTGTGGGCCAATCAACTGGTCCCTGGGAAGACCATAGAAAGAAGGCAATCAGAGGAGTTTTATTCATAACATATATAATATATATAGGGGGCGACAGTGGCGTTGGATGTAGGAGTTTGCCCTGAAATCGAAGGGTTGACGGTTCAAGCCCCGACTCTGACTCTCAGTGTCGTTGTGTCCTTGGGCAAGACACTTCACCTGCATTGTCTATAGATGGTGGTCAGAGGGCCCGGTGGCGCCTGTGTACGGCAGCCCCGCTTCTGTCAGTGAGCCCCAGGGCCGCTGTGGCTACAATGTAGCTTGCCACCATCAGTGTGTGAGTGTGTGTTTGAATGGGTGAATGAATGTAGTGTAAAGCGCTTTGGTCAAGTCTCCTAACTTAAATAAAGGTGCTATAAAAGTACATGCTATTTACCACATTTAAAGTCTTTGGTGCTCAGACCTCTGTGGGAAACATCAGCACTGAAATTTACTGTGATTACATGCATGAGCTGCTGAATGACGACAGGGTAGAGACAGTGGAGAGAAAAAAAAACCCTTAGGATGAAATCTGTGGGAGAACTAGGCTCAACATGGCTGTGTTCTGTCGGACCAGCTGGGGGTGCGTCGTGAAAGCAGTATGAGTCCTTCTAATTTGAACGAGGGCAGCAGGAGTGTGTCATACAAGATTAAAGATTGTTATAGATTATTTGCATTTACTCCAGCTCCCTCTGTGTTAATCACTATCTCCCAAAGTCTCCATTTTTTTTAGTTTTCCTCAGCTGTTCTCCATCTCTCTGCTCAGACCCACCTGGTCTCCATGTCACTTCACACTCCTGTATCTAAAGTTCTTGCTTGTGGTTTTCTGAATCTCACCCTTTGTCTCCCAGGAGTTTCAATCTCTTAGAAACAGATCCATAGATTAACTGTTTGTTGACTCCAGCTCTACTCCCAACACCATCACCCCAGCTGTGCTGCATGACGAACTCTGAGCTTACTGGCTGACTCCACCTGCAAGGGGACCACAGACTTCCTGACAGACAGGAAACAAACTGTGAAACTGAGACATCAGCTGTCTGATTCCAGGACGAGCCGTCTCTGTACACCAACAGCTATACCTTCAGTCACCAGTCTTTCAGGCTCCTGAATTGCAGATGAAGCGACCTAACTGGGTTCATCTCTGAGGAGGTAATTCTGCCTACATGTGGCAGATTGTTCTTCTGGTGACCTGCTGCTGCAGAACAATCTGAAGCTCAACTCTCTGAAACAAACAGCACAGCCACTGTGAACTTCCCTTCAGGAACTGTATACCTCCAGGACCCAGAGGCAAGGATGCAACATCTCAGCTGACCCTCATTAAGAAGGTGCGGATCCCTGACTGACACTTTTCCCATTGGAAGAGAACAAACACAAACCTTATCATGTTTAAATACTCCTTAATCTAATCCCATACTGTTTTTTCCTTGGCTTGTTTGTTTCTAGCATCTTCTATGGTGCTCTTCCTATACATTTTGCTTTCATTTATTCCACATAAAAAAGTTGTATATTAATTGTAAAGTACTTCTCATTATTAACGTTTTTTTTCTGTTTCTGAATAATCATCAGAATAATCAATAGAATACTTTATTAGTAAAACAGCTGTTTGCCATCTCAAGTCCCATTATATACTGAGACTCAAGGGGGTACCATATATATTTCACCATAGACTTCTTTGGATTTACGTTTGATTCAGGATTGGGCAAATTAAAGCTACAGTGTGTAACTTTTAGCGACATCTAGCGGTCAGACTGCAGACTGCAGCAACATGAACATCTCCCCCCCGCCGCTTCTCCCCCCGAACAGTACGGCGAGTGTTACGGGACAAAATGTCTTCCACGACATAGATAATTTTACAGATAGTATTTCATTCGTCTGTGTAGGGTATAGATTTCATGTAGACTTAAGATAATAAATATACCCGTTATTTTTTCTACATTGTTGTGACATTTTGGCGATCTCGCAATCGCTAGTTTGTTGGCTCTGCACTGCCGTAGCGCAAAGATGTCTGCCTCCATGGCTGCGAGACCCGCTCCTATGTAATTATAAATAACGAATTCTAAGGCAACGCAAATATTAAGGTTAAGAGGCTGAGCTCGTAGATGATGATAAATAACATAGTTATGTATAATATATTACATTTCTGACTGTATATCCCTGTAATTATTACACACTGTAGCTTTAAAGCTAAGATGTGAACGTAGCATGTGGGAGACAGCTGTGTCTAAATGTCTGCCTTGACCTCTAGATCCCTAAATCACTATATACAGGTCCTTCTCAAAATAATAGCATATTGTGATAAAGTTAATTATTTTCCATAATGTAATGATAAAACTTGAACATTGATATGATTTAGATCCATTTTGCCATACACCTCATGAAAACCCAAAATGGCTGAACATCTTATTTTGGCATTTGACCAATTAGATAAGCCTATGAATGATAGATTACTTACTGGAAATTTGGTTGGGAAAAAAAAGTTAAGTCAAGAAAAAAAGGTAAAAAGCTAATTGAAAATTAAAAAAGTTAATAAGCCTCGTTAACAATTATATTTAGGTTTATAAACTGTCAGTGCCAGTATCAGCATTAATGCCTCTAAGGTTATGTTAGACCAAAAAAAAATGTCTCTTTCACTCTCAGTGTTTTTATGAATTTCTTATAGAAGCACTTTTGTTATTTTTCTTCATATATTCGGGCATGTTGGCGTTTCTTAATCTATTTTTGCCCTCAAAATATCCATAATTTTTAATGTTACAAAGTATTTCACTGGGTGCCCTATAAAAGGTTAAATGTGGTTCATATAAAACAGGAGCTTTGCATGGAAATCAGCAAGAAGGAATCAAATGAATTCTGCTCTTCTCATCTTTCACCAGATGGCGCTGTTATCCCACAGTTAGAAGACGTGGCGATGCAGTTACTTATCAGTACATTTTTGTTCGTTTGGTTTCGATTTTAAATTTCGTAAATATCCTCCAGAAGAAGGACGCTTTCTGCAGCAGATATGACTTGTCTGCATCTCCTGGCCTGTTTGCTGGTAATCCTGCAGGTTTCTGCGTCTGACGGTGAGTTTTTAGGTAGAAAGTTTCCACTCTGCCTGATTAAGGCTGGGATCTAAACTCTGCAGACAAAAACAACCTCGCCTTCCAGGAGGATTTACCAAACATCAGCAAATAGTTTTATGCTTCATAACTTCAGCTAAATGTTTCCCAATGACTTGATATGCTTATTATGATCTGTTTCCAATATCAATAAAAAAAGATTCTTGGTTTATTTTAAAAGCTTTATAAAATGAGTAGAATAAAATGTTTGATTTTGAAATAAATCTATTAGACATACGAGAAACCCCCTAATTATACATGTGGTGATGCATCCTGTATTCAGTAACCATCTGACTAGATTCACCACATTAAAGGCAGACATACATTTGTTGGGGGTGACTAATGGTTTCTTTGATCACGTGTTGATTTAAAAAAAAAGATCATTCTGTTTATTTTGTTTCTCTTAAAATGGTTTTACAAATCATTCAGTTATAGTAACATATCTTTGATGATTAAAAAAAGTCATTTTTGGATGAAAATAAGCAACTAAAAGTAAAACTAAAGGAGGGTTTAATGCTTCCTTGTTCTTTGTGGTTTGGAAACTGATAAAATGTCTTGTTTTATTTCCTCATACTCTCCTAGAGCGTGAAAAATAAGATATGACTTCGAAACAAAACAGCAGTGCTGACTGTGCTGAGGGGGCCTCATTGTTTCATGCATAGTGTCAAATTCAGGTTTTTCTTTGCCTTGTTTCGCCATTCAGAGCAGATTTCCTAATAATAATGAAAAAGGAAGCAGAGATAAGTTTAATCTGCAGACAGTGTTGAACTTTGGTCTTAGAGGGAGGAAATGTTTTTAGAGCCTCACAGTTGCCTCACAGTTGCACAGGGAAACATCCTGCAGAGGAACAGCTGCTTTCTCTCCCTGTGATCGTTAACGTCCCACACCCCTTCAACCTCATTTTCTTTCAATAACAAACTTCAATCTTCCTCTATTTATGGTTGACACAGACATTGCGTGACTTGCAATGATCTTATTGCACCAGCAGCACTTTAATTTCATCTTCATGTCACAACAAGCCCAGTAGGAAGGGACAAAGGTTCAGGGTGGAGCCAGTCAGGACTGGTTGAGTTTAAATGATATTAAACCGGCTCAGCTGGTGGCTCATTAGGTCTGTTTATATTCTGGGACATTCTGAAGGGATAATGCTGCTTCTGTTTGACCAGTTTCTCTTATTGACAGTGGATTTCTTTCAACATGGCAGACTCTTACCTGCAGTTTACACTCCGTCTGGTGATCTACCACATTCTGTGACTCAGCATATATTCTGACCCCAGGGATTGCTGTTATACATTTTCCTCACCAATCTTCTACCTACTAACCCTAACTTCATAGGACTAATACCTAAATCTAATGATGGGTCCAGCAACGCTGATGCCTTTGAGTAAAACACTGATTCAGTGCGCTTGTCATTTAAAGAAAGTAATGTGACCGACACAGGAGTTCTGCTAGCATCTGCTAAAAAAAACATCCCATCTTATGCAGTTTATCATTAAAATGATCAAGAATTTAGGAGCCTAAAAGGAACAGTAACGTTTCAGCTGCTGCGTTTTTATTTTAATTTTCTCATTGTGTGGTAATTTTCCTCTCAGTTATCACTCAAATTATCTGAATTAAAGTTAATTTCAAATTGAATATTAGTTTATTTACTGTTTTTACTGCACTTATTGTTTTAAAATTATGATTTAAAATCCTTGTCCAAAAGCATCCTCATTCAAATTAAACATAGATATGAAATATTACGGGCTGCTCAGTGCGGCAGTGGGTAGCACTGCAACCTTGCAGCAAGAAGGTTCTGGGTTTGATTCCCTGCATGGAGTTTGTATGTTCTCCCTGAGCATATGTGGGTTCTTTCTGGGTACTCCGGCTTCCTCCCACAGTCCAAAAATATGACTGTTAGGTTCATTGGTTTCTCTAAATTCTCCTTAGTTGAGTGTTTGTGTGAATGGTTGTTTGTCTCTGTGTTGCCCTGCGATGGACTGGCGACCTGTCCAGGGTGGACGCCGCCTCTCACCCATTGACTGCTGGAGATAGGCACCAGCACCCCTCGCGACATCCATCCATCCATTATCTGACACACTTGTCCCGAGTGGGGTCGCGCTGGTGCCTATCTCCAGCAGCCAATGGGCGAGAGGCGGCGTCCACCCTGGACAGGTTGCCAGTCCATCGCAGGGCAACACAGAGACAAACAGGACATACAACCATTCACTCCTAAGGAGAATTTAGAGAAGCCAATGAACCTAACAGTCATGTTTTGGGGTCATCAAATCAATTCAGTTTATTCTGTCCAATCAGCTGCCTGTAGTGTCTTTAAATGTCCAGCAGGTGTCAGTATTCTGTGAGACAGAATCAAGGCAGCATCAACACAGTTTGGCTTCATGATGCCTCACTAACCATCACTAGCTAAATCTGAAGAAGTAAGTGTACTTCAGCATTTGTCAAAGTTGAGGCATTGGGTGTCGTACTGACATCCAAGAAGCTTTCAGTCTATACCCACCATTAAGATGCATTCACACCAAAGGCAAATTAAGCTAATCGTTTTTGTTGGTCACCTGACATTGATTATTTGATATTTTGGTTTCCTGTTGTGGACACCGCTGTGAACTTTCATCTAGCTCACTGATGATCAAGTTTGAGCCTTAGATTAAAAAAAATCTAAGCATCAGACTAGATTTTAGCATACAGATGATAAACACTGTCCAATATTAAAATATATATGAAAAATGTAAATATTCTGAAAGCCCATGTTTCACATAAGGAAAAAAAAAAAAAAAAATTTTCGGGACATCTAAAAAGGAATATTACAGTGAGGTATCAGATGAGATTAAACGAAGAACTGAAAGCCTCTAAAATATGTCAAGCAATGTTATTTGGAAAGACCTTAAAAAAATTAATTATACACAATGTTTTATGAGCAATGATATAATTATTGAACAAAAAAAGTCTATGTAGAGGGTGAAAAAATGCTCTTGATTCTGGGACAACAGAGGGCTGCAATGAGATACATTATACAAAACTGGAGATTGACACAAGTTCACAAACTATAGGCCTATTTCGTTACTTCCACTACTTTTTAAGATTTTAGAAAAACAGACTTTGAAACTTTATTGATGGACACAACCTAGTTTCTGAGAGGATTTAGATCGCAGAGATCCACAGCTCTGGCAGTACTAAAGGAAGTCAGCAGCTCCGTAGATAAAAACAAGTTTACAGTTGGTATGTTTGTTGATCTAAAAAAAGCATTTGACACAATTGATCACAATAACAAGGAAATTAGAGCGCTATGGTGCACATGTCTGTGTCCAGAGTGAAGGAAGAGCTGTTTAAGTGGAAAGTAGTAATAAACAATATGTGAAAGGGTTATTCTCAACCGCCGTGCTTGGACTTTGCATGTGGCGCCCCCCAGGGGTCAATGTTAGGACCCATACTATTTAGTTCTCTATAAAAAATGACATGGAAATGTATTTTATTTTGCAGATTACATGAATATCGTGTGCAGGTGAGAGCTTAGAGCAGCTCCTGGATGATATCATACCAGAGAATAATAAGCTTTAAAAAAAAAAGGTTTGACATGAACAATCTGGTTCCCAATCATCCAACACTTTAAAAAATATACATCTAATTTAATCGGATTATGCCTTTATGGTAGATTAACAGTATTTCTATTTTTTATGTTTCTTTCTTTTACATGACAGGCAATTCTAATAAATTCTTCCTGTCATTAATATTTTTATGTTTTGTATTTTGTCATGTTACCTTTTTATATTTGCATTGCTGCAGACAAACATGACTTTTCCTGTTGTGGGCAATGAGGTCGATGTTGTTCTATAGTAGTAATAGTATGATGGTGATCAGGTCTTGTGTTGTTCTGTTCAGTGGAAGTGATTCCAGGAGAGGACGCCGTCCTGCAGTGCCAGGCTCCCAGCAGTGCCAAGGTTACAGTAGTGGAGTGGACCAAAGACGACCATTCACCGGATGACTATCTCTTCCTCTACCGTAATGGCCGCTCATATGAAAAGTACCAGCACCCTTCTTTCAGAGGTCGAGTTGAACTGAGGAGCTCGTCCTTCGCTGACAGCGGAGATGTTTCTGTGGTCCTGAAAAAAGTGTCTGGGGAGGACATGGGGACGTATAGGTGTCGAGTTCTAATGACCAGCAGCGGGGGTAAGATGGAGGAACACTCTGAGGTCGTACATCTGATGAACCAGATCCCTTCAGGTATTATTCTTTATTTAGTTCAGTCTCCTTCCAGAAAACTGAGACTAACTGTTGTTTCTGACCTGCAGGAGCCCCCCAGGAACCAGAGAGAGTAGGTACCGAAGAGGGAACTGGTCCAAACGTTCCTGTACTGGCTGGAGTGCTTTCTGTAGCTTTGGTCGCTGTTATCGGAGGTGTTGGGTTTTTTGTACATAGGAGAAACAAAATGCGAAATCATCAGCGAGTCCTGCAGGAAATACAGACATAAAACAAAGCTAAATATGAATTTGTTTGGATAAAAAGCCGGACAAAGCTGTGACTCCTCCTCTGAATGGACAGATTAACTCAGTAGGCAGGGAGCGTTGATTCAGACTAACACATTAAACCACAATTACTACCAGGAAACTGTCTGCTGATAAAGACACTAAACAGGGAGGAGGAAAATGGTTTGGTTCTAGCATCATAACTCATAGAAACATTTATTAAGTTCTGACCATTTCCTGCCATTAACACAGAGGCTATAGCTCCCCTCACCATCCTCTGCAGGGCCCTCTGCTCTGACAAATTAAACTGAAATCTACATTAAGGTTCCATCAGAAGTGAAGCTGAAGACGTGGAAAATTAAGAGGATAACTTCAGATCTTTTGGGTTTTTTTGTTTGTTCTATAAATCGCATTAAAATCAGCAGTGGCCTCCTCCATACCTCTGATGGTGTTTTCATGCATTAACAAACTTTGTTTGCACAGTTTTTTAAACCACTACTTCTTTGAATGGTGCTAGCTGTGCTAATGCAGCTAGCTACACCTACAGGCTTCATGTCTGTACATGATTTTATTGTTTCTCTTAATGTTTATAATTTTCTTTTATTTTTCTGTCTAATTGTGTTTAATATTTGTTGGGGGTTTATCCTTCATAACGTGTTTTATTTCTAGCAGGTTTAATGTTTTCTGTCTGCTTGTTATTGTTGTGTTCTGAGCCAGAGGACTGAATAAATCTTTATTCAGATTTCCTGATGTAAACAAAGATTTTTTTGATTATTATAAGTTGATCTATGTTTTTATTTGCTTTCCTCCATTTTGGTTTTACTTTGACATGTCAGGTCTATATTTCTATCATGGATGCAGAGCAGCAGATGTGTTGGTAGGGATCAGATTACCAATGATGGGATAATTGTGGTGAGGTCTGCGGCCCACGCACTGATCTATATTTATTCACTGGATTGCATATTGCTCCACAAAAGTGAAGACACTGGCCGCCATCTTGGTACTCCCCACTCCAACAGAGACGCGCAGTAAAAATGCCTCCCTGTGCAGCATTTAGCTCCTAAAACCAGCAGTTTTCTGGCTCTGAAATGTTCCACACTAATTTCCCAGTCAGTGGATGAACTAAGCAATAAATCCATCTATAGCCGATGGATCCTATAGTTTAGTCTGCAGACTAACATTAGTCTGGCTATCTCAGACTGACTGGAAGACATTAGACACTGACATGGGGTCTAACGTTAGAAAATAGAAAGTAGAGGAAATGGAAAGTAATTCACTTTGAAATGTTAATGTAGTAATTCTTTATTAAGTGGATTATTCTGTTGTTCCTGTTGCATTTGTTTTATTTCTCATTTTAAAAGTCGTGAGCTGAAATATTTTGCATGTTTTATTGATGGGAAAAAAAGCAACTCAAACATTTTTAAAGTCTAATGCACAGACACAGGATTAAAGCAGACGGCATCATTCATGCACAATTTGCTAATAGAAAAATACTACAGCATTAACAGACATTTACTTGTAATTCAGCCTTGATGTAAAATCTTGAAAACATATGCAATATGTAATTACCATAATAATGTAACCAATACATGTATATCACATGTACATCAAGTTACCTCTTTTGGCTCATCTGTATTATTCTGCTCCATTAACACATTCATTTTATTGTGATGGTTTGTATATTATGTTATATTGCATGATTTATAGATTTCATTGTTTTCATAATAGCTATGCAAAGTGATGGTCCCATTTTTTTTATTCTAAGTTAAAGTTAATCTACTGATGCTATGAAACAGCCAGTCTGTGTCTCAAAGTGATGAATTTATCTTTATTTTGAAAGTCTTAAGTTCCCCTGAAAATGAAAACCTCGTTGTTCAATGCTGTAGCGCACAGATTGTTTACATTTAGACCGGTCTAACTAGGGAGTACCAATATGGCGGCCGGTGGCTTCACTTCAACCCCGTACTACCAACAAGCAATCAGTGAATTAACAGATCAGTGAGCCCACGTTGATGATTTCCTGTGTTTTTCATCAGCTTCAGCCAGAGCCCCTGAATGTCTCTGGGTTACATCAGTGAAATTGCAGGAACTTTAAGGAGCTGCAGCCTCATGTTTTCTCAGATGCTTTGCTGAATTCATCCACAGCAATAGTCTGTGGATTTCATGTCTCTTCAGCGAAGCATAAAAGGATCAGGGTTTGATTTTGCGTCTTAAAGGTTTTTATTGGGTTTCCTGCTATAGTCGCCCAGGAGACTTGCTTGTACAGGGCATTTTAACATGCATGTGGACTGGTAATGGGGCATGTCACTGGCTGGACTCACAGGTAACCATGGAAACTGAAGCCTGACAACATTTCACAGACCCATCAGACCCACTAATGCCTGAATATGCAGACTATTTGAAAGAGTTGAGGAAAACAGAAACAGCCCTGCAACCAAGCAGGCTGCTTTCATGGAGGAATGTGTTGCCATGATTTTAGTCCAGGTAAACAGTGTTTATCATTCAGTTCCTGTTACTGGAAAAAGGGGCCAGCCCAGCAGCTAGAAAAAAAAAAAAAAAAAAAACACACCATAACCCCCTGATTCTGAGGCGTTGCTGTTGGTGACGAATGGTTTGGATGCAGCTGATCAGGAGCAGATCTGATGTTTTGTGATCCACCTTTTCTCACTATGATCATCAGCATCGCTGGCCTCGCTCCGTCAGCTGAGGCGACCACTGCCTGGACGAGCTGCTGTCGTTCCCAAACATTTCCATTTTTTAATGATACATCACAGTCCAACCCTGGAATCCACTGAGCTCCTGCAGCGACCCATCCTTTCACTAAAGTCAGTAATAAGTCTGCAGGCCCAGGTAATTTTATACACCTGCAGCCATAAAAGTGATTGAACTCCTTGGTCTAGTTCATTGGATCGGGGAGTGAATACTTTTAGGTATAAGTGTATGAGCTGCTCTGAAACTAGGGAAGATTTCTCTCTGAAACAGGTTGCTGCTAACAGGCTGCGGCGACGGAGCGCTTCCTCCTATCTCCACAGGAAGTGACATCAGCTGTTATAAACGGGGTTGAAACCAGCAGCTTTCTCTGATCTGGGGCTTCATGAAGACAAAAGCTGTTATAACAGATTGAATGAATGCTTTATTAGGCTGGAAAGAACTTTAACATTTCATGTCATTACAAATAGCTCATTATATAAGGTGCTAAATTATAAAATAATTTCATAAAATAATTTTTCATTTATACTTTTTTAATAAAAAATTTTTCCCATGACACTGACTTTTTGCCTGAGACCAACCAAGGTGCCTGATGCTGCTGAAGGACAGGATGCCACATAGCAGGAAAAGTGCAAAAGGTGCAAAGCAGCTTATTAGTCTCATATATTTCTGATAACATAGAATATTTCAGAAAAATAACAAATGTTCCCACATTCAGTATGATTCGGATCAAATCAGTCCTGTTCCGTTCTTTAGTTCCTGTTCCGTTTGGAGGGAACTTAATCTACACTTTGACAAAGCGCTGTTTTTGATAAGAACAAAACAGACGATAATCAGAAAAAGTAGCGGCACACTGATCCCAACTAGAGCGAACATTAATGTTTTAGCCGCATCCGTTGTTCCATCGTCTTCTGTGTTCTTGGGTTCTTCTTCCTCTTCGGTTCCTGCAGAACAGAAACAAGAGAAATCTGCATCAGAACAACCATAGCATCAGACTTTAGTTTCCATCCAGGTGAACCGATCTGATATTCATCTCAGACGTTTATCACAGTAAATCAGGAGGCAGTGGACCCATCGGTCCGACTGCGACCCTCACCTGAGACTCTGAGGTGGACGAAGCTCTGAAACTCTCCATCAGCTCCTCCTGGGTTCTGGGTAACGATCCGACACACGTAGGTTCCTGCATCCGTCATGCTGAGGTTCAGCAGAACCACGGAGAAGTCTCCGTCCCTCACGCCCGAGGCCTCCCTCAGATAGACCCGTCCTCTGACAGAGTCGTCCTGGTAGGACGGGTACGGACGGTTTTTACGGTAGAAGAACACGTAGTCCTGTTGGCTGCCATTTTTGGTCCAGGTGAAGAGTTTGATTTCTGCGTCTCTGGGTCCAATGCAGCCCAGGGACACGTTCTGTCCCAGTTTTCCTCTCACTTCCTGCCGATCTGAAAGATCCAGAGAAGAGGAAACAGGTAGGAGTCAGAACCTTCCTGGATATGAACTATAATCCTGTTTTTTTATCTGTGACTAAATGTCTGGAATCAAATGTTTGCAGATGACATCACTCTGTTGCTTTAACAGAGATACAGGAAACGCTGCACTTTATGCAATTTAAATTACTCTGGTTGAAGCCTGTTGTGTGTTTGATGTTTTTTTAATGAGCCCCAAAGACAATAAAGACTCGTTTCTAAAACGCCATAATTAAAAAGCCTCTTCTGACAGAGACTCAGCCAATGACAGCCTTCTGCTCAGGAATCCCATGAAGATAGCTGTCGCTAGCTTAACTAGCAGGCGGCAGAAGGAAGACTAGACGCTATTAGCCACAGGTAGTACCTCTGGAGCTGGGGGAATGCAGCTCCCCCTGCTGGGAGTACAACAGAATTACAAGCGTGCCTGGACCAAAAAAAAAAAAACCCAAAACTATAAGCTGCTTACCTGAAACGCCAGGAAAAAACCCAGAAAGGGCTAAAAGCTCAACAATAAGACCTAACTTTGAAATGTTTGCCACATGGCTTAACCCTCGTTCAAGTGCCGCTAACGGTCACGTATGCCGGGGTTCAGTAAAGGTCAGCTGATTCTGCTCTCCTCCATACATGCTGTGCGCAGTCCTTCCTCAGAAAGTGGTGAAATAGTCCATGTTGCTTTTGTAATTAATGCTTTTATTCATGTTTTTCGTTATTTCCTCTGGTTCGGTTGGATACAGCTGATCTAACTGATGCATATCTGTAACGGAAGCAGTCCCTGCTGAAAATGTGTTCCTATGGCTACGGGTTCTGGCTGCAACTAATGATTATTTTGCAAATCGACTGATTTAACCCTAACCCTAACCCATTTTCAATTAATCGCTTAATGATCAGATAGGCAAAGGTTCCTTAAAGATTTTAATTAAATGAAACCAGCTGAAACTAAAACTTTTCCACTTTAGGAGTTCTGGATAGAGCAGATTTATTGATTTTATTAATCTCACAGTGGAGAAATGTCCTAGTTACATCAGCTCAAATACTTAAAGGAGAAGAAGAAAAATGTGCATGGCATATATACAGTATAGACAGTGTGTCCAAATACAACCGCTTTCGACAAGAAAAAAATATTTTTAATTTAATGGAAAAATGGTCAATCTGCCAGCTAAAGGCCTGTTTCAGAGTCTCTATACTCCATTTAATGAATACTTGATTAATAAACCAGTTGATTATTTCAATAATTGATTAATCCCAATAAATCTGAGTAATTATTTCAGCCCTACTACATGTATATATCCAACCCGCTGAAGCTGATTGAGAAGTGGAGAAGTGTCTCTATGA